TCCCTTATATCCCTTATATAGTAGTAGTAAGTAAGTAGCAAGTAGTAAGCCAAGTCCCCCCTGTGTCAATTCACTTACCTTTGCTCCGCGCGTTCCTCTCGCCGTATTCCCGCGCCGTTCCGGTCTTCAGGGCGGACTGTGAGAGGAGCCTAGCTCCTCTCACGTTCGTCACGCTGCCCCGCCTACACACATCCTGACAGCCAATCACTGGCTATCAGGATGTGAGTGGCAGCGAGACTGGCCAATCATTGCATTTGAGCGCGCTGCCCTGGCTGTTTTTTTTTTTGGATCACGCTGCAGAGTCCCTGCTGCCCGAGAGGAGGGAGGGGAGCGGGCGCCCGGCACACAAGAGCCGCATTAAAGCGTGTAAAGAGCCGCATGTGGCTCGCGAGCCGCGGCTTGCCGACCACTGGGCTAAGCGATGTTGCGTGACCACCTGCAGCCAATGATGGACAAGCAGGGCATGTCATCACGAATCATATGAGTCGGGTGTGGGTCTTCACCTCCGCCGAACCCGCGAGACTGACTCACCGAACCCCTGGGGTTCGATCGAACCCAGGTTAAGAACCACTGGCCTAAAGGGAAATATCAAAAATGACCAATTTCTTTAACCACTTCCCGCCTGCCCTATAGCAGAAATGCCTATATATATACGTGATTTAGCAGGGGGCACGAGCGAGCCGCACGCGCCCTACCCGCGCCGCCATTCTAGGCCGCGGCTGTTGGCTGCATGCAGAAGAAATAACCTGGCACTAGAATGGGGAACAAGTCAGTGTGATAATGTGGTCACATTTAGTCAGTTATATCACCACCCCCTTCCCATTCCCACTCCTTTGCTTACATGGCTAGGGATTCCTGGCCATGTAAGTGAACAGTCTGGGTGACGTCAGTGGTTGCCAAGGCCGTGGCGGGTGTAGGCACCCGCTGCTTCCTTAGCAACGATTGACAGCTCTCGTGTTTGTCCACAATGAATGCCCTAAACATTGGGACCCAAACACTCGGCTCATCCCTAAAGGGGTAAGGTGATACAAAAGGTTATAACTGTGAGGGGATGAACTGATGGAGAAAGGAAAGTTCAATTGTTGGGTGGAGGTGAGATAGGCTTCCTTGAAGAGCTGAGTTTTCAGGGATCACCTCAGGGTGGACAGAGTAGGCAATAGCTAGACAGTTTGGGGTAGAGAGTAGCAAAGGATGGGATTGACTCTGGAGAAGACCTGGACGCAAACATGAGAGTCAATAACTAAGGTGTTCGAGAGTAGAGCTAACTGAGCAAAGTTTGGTTCACTGGACATTCTTCAAATCCAGCTGGAAATCCGAGGACCCTGAGCAAAGATCCTGAACTTTTTTGAAGGCTATGGAAGCCAAGGGCCATTTTCATGTTTCCAAGATTTTGGGGCATGGGTAGCTATCACGTACCTGGTGATGGAGGCCAATGGAGAGAGGGCTTCCCTTGCGGCTAAGTTCCAGACTCCCCTGAGAGTTGGACAGCGGGAGTCAGGCCCAAAGTTGCACAGGTCGCCTGTAGGAGTGCTGGTTGGTGGTCGACTCAGAAGCACAGCTGGTGCACGGAGATAGGTCTGCAGACAGGAGGTGCCTGTGCGTGGTATGTAAACCCTTCCGGGATTTAGATGTTTACTGGATAGTCGGTTCAAGCCAAGGTCAGGTACCAGGTGGGAATCAGAGCAGACGTAGTCAGATGGGATAGCCGAGGTCATACACAGGGAAGTGAGAGAGAGAGAGTATCCGTAAGCCAAGCCAAAGTCAAATCAGGGGTAAGGCAGAGTAGACAGGTCTGTTTGTAAAAGATGGCGTGGTTCCCCCTTCAAAATCAATACCAAACCCTTAAACACAGTTAGTAACTGAGCAATGCATGAAGAAACTGAAAGGGTGAGGAGCATAGAGACAGATTTGGGATCATGGTATTGGAAGCCTTGGAATGTTATCAACTGACCAAAGGAGAAAGTGTAGATAGAGAATAGAAGGGGTGTAAGGACAGAGGCTTGAGGGACCCCTATGGAAAAGAGCAGGAGGTAGAGTTGTAGGTGACAGTGAAGGTGTGCTTGGATAGGTAGGAAGGAGAACCAGGGAAGAGCAAAGCCTTGAAGGCCAAGAGAGTTGAGTTCATTGAGGAGGAGTTGGTGGTCAACTGTATCAAAGACAGCAATATCACCACCCCCTTCCCATTCCCACTCCTTTGCTTACATGGCTAGGGATTCCTGGCCATGTAAGTGAACAGTCTGGGTGACGTCAGCGGTTGCAAGGACGTGGTGGGTGTAGGCACCTGCTGCTTCCTTAGCAACAATTGACAGCTCTCTTGTTTGTCCACAATGAATGCCCTAAACATTGCGACCAAACACTCGGCTTATCCCTAAAGGGGTAAGGTGATGCAAAAGGTTATAACTGTGAGGGAATGAGCTGATGGAGAAAGGAAAGATCAATTGTTGGGTGGAGGTGAGATAGGCTTCCTTGAAGAGATGAGTTTTCAGGGATCACCTCAAGATGCACAGAGTAGGAGATAGCTAGACAGTTTGGGGTAGAGAGTAGCAAAGGATGGGATTGGCTCTGGAGAGGACAGAGCCTTGAGGGACCCCTATGGAAAGAGGAGGAGGTAGAGTTGTATGTGACAGTGAAGGTGTGCTTGGATAGGTAGGAAGGAGAACCATGGAAGAGCAAAGCCTTGAAGGCCAAGAGAGTTGAGTTCATTGAGGAGGAGTTGGTGGTCAACTGTATCAAAGACAGCAGAGAGGTTTATTAGTACGAGTACAGAGTAGTGTCCTTGGCAGGTTAGTAGTGGGTTTTAATAGGGCAGTTTCTGTGGCATGTGAATGAAAGCCAAATTCAAAGGGGTCATCAGCAGCAGAATAGAGAAGAGAAGTGGAAAAGTGTTGGTAAATGTTTGCTGGTTGGAGGGATAGGAGGTTGAAGATGAGGAAACTTTCTTTACCAACAGATCATAAACTAAGCAACAGTAAAAAGTTCAAAAGAAAGCAGATTATACATAGAAAATTGAATTTCTGATCCAGCAGGACAAAGCCAATAGACCCCAAAACAATAAAAATGAATGTCCTTCTGTGTGTAATCCCACTGGAGATTGTTCTTACATGATAGAGACCCTCATATTACCCCCCTCCCCCCATCCTAATATTGTACAACCAGTACAGTCCAGATCATTCTCTGTTATCAATTATTGGTCCACAGGAAACCTATATATAGATCACATGACCAATGGGGATGGAGGAGGACCGGAGTCACATGACTGAGAGGATACTAAACCTCACCCTGGAGATCATCTACCTGCTGACCGGAGAGGTGAGGAGGATTCTGGGAGGTCACATGACATCACTTTTATCTCTATTAATAAAACACAGACCTGACCGGAGAGGTGAGGAGGATTCTGGGAGGTCACATGACATCACTCTCATCTCTATTAATAAAACACAGACTTGACCGGAGAGGTGAGGAGGATTCTGGGAGTCTAACATGATATTCCTATTGGTTCCCCAATACAGAGATTTCCTCCTCTGAGGTCAGGTGATCATATGACCATCACAGTGCCTCCATGTGACTCCCTAAACCCTGAGAGACACAACATGCAGAAGATTCTAGAAGTCACCAAGAAGATGATGGAGCTGCTGACAGGAGAGGTGAGCGGTGCTGGGAATTCTGGGACATTCTCCAGTAACAGACAAGGGATGTGTCTGGATGGTGACTGTATCATTGTGTGTGTCAGGTTCCTATAAGGTGTCAGGGTGTCACTGTCTATTTCTCCATGGAGGAGTGGGAGTATTTAGAAGGACACAAGGACCTCTACAAGGACGTCATGATGGACAATCAGCCGCCCCTCACATCACCGGGTAAGAGGAGACTTTATTGGAAAGGAGAGAGCAGTACGGAGGCTCCGCCTAGATCCCCCATCATCTGATAAACACATAGAAACAATGGATTCAGTCAGTGTGTGTGTTTCCTACAGATGGATACAGTCATGGGAACCCACCAGAGAGATGTCCCAGTCCTCTGTATTCCCAGGATTCCACACAGGAAGATCACACCATCCCTCACCATCATCAGGTCGGTGGAGTTGAGGGTCGGGAACATAAAGTGATGGAACATTCTGACATGTGGAGACGATGTGTGGACTCTACAAGATGAGATGTTCTATGTGATCTCACATCATAAATCCTTCTATGTTACAGATGTTATTTTCTGCCATTCTGTTGCTTTAGGGTGAAGATCTGATGAACATGAAAGTTGAGGGTGAAGTAGAAGAGACGTATGTGAGGGATGATCAGCAATATACGGAGGAGGCTGGAATGAGGAGGACATTCATAGAGGAGGACACTACTACAGAGATCAGCACAGGTGACCAGAATATATTCTTCTGTTTTTTCTCTGCTCTGTTACCGCCCCCCCCAGCCCCCATTGGTTCCTGCTCCTCTGACATAGAGGTGTAAATGTAGAAGTGATCTGAGAGGACCAAAGGCCCTTTGACTGAAGAGGGGAGGAGTCCCAGCTGCTTGGGACCTCCACAGAGAACATCTGCTCCCTCCTATCTGCCTGATCCAGATGGAATCTTGATGGAAGTGAACTAACCCTCTCCTATCTATTGATGATGTTTTTCTATTTTTCCAGGACCCGCCATGGAGAAACCCTCAAAGGATCGTCTCACTTTATCTCCAGGTTGTAAAATGGAAGAGGAGGACATCCCAGGAGATTGTGCCGGAGAAAAGACAATGAGCTCCACTATGGATGGTGGACTTCCCAGTGTGGAGAGACCATGGAATCCCTCTGACCCTGACCAACCTCGTACTGTGGGGGATGGGGCCGGGGTTCAGGAGGAGAAGAATTTTTTCCTGTCCTGAATGTGGGGAAAGTTTTAGTTCTGAACAAATGTTCTCTGTTCATGAGAGATCTCACACGGGTGAGGAGCTTCATTCCTGTTCTGAGTGCGGGAAATGTTTTCTTCATAAATCAAAACTTGTCACACATTACAGATCTCACAGGGGAGAGAAGCCGTTTTCTTGTCCTGAGTGCGGGAAATGTTTTTCACGGAAGTCCTGTCTCTCTAGACACCAGAGATTGCACACAGGCGAGAAATTGTATTCCTGCTCTGAGTGCGGAAAATGTTTTTCACAGAAGACCAATCTTATTAGACATCAGAGATTGCACATGGGTGAGAAACCTTTTACCTGCCTTGAGTGCGGGAAATGTTTTTCACGAAAATCAGACCTTATTATACATCAGAGATGTCATACAGGGGAGAGGCCGTATTCCTGCTCTGAGTGCTGGAAATGTTTCTCAGATAAGGCCGGTCTTACCAAACATCAGAGATGTCACACAGGCGAGAAGCCGTATTTGTGTTCTGAGTGCGGGAAATGTTTTTCACGAAAGTCCATTCTTATCGTACATCAGATTTGCCACACACGGGAAAGGCTGTTTTCCTGCCATGAGTGCGGGAAATGTTATCTAAGGAAATCAGAACTTCTCAAACATCAAAAATCTCACGGAGGGGAGAAGCTGTTTTGCTGCCCTGAGTGCGGGAAATGTTTTTCACAGAAGTCTTGTCTTACTAAACATCAGAGATCTCACACCACCCTCAAGGTGAATTAGTGTCCCGAGTGCGGGAAATGTCTTCTCTATGGATGATATGTTGCCATACATCAGAGCTCTCACACTGGGAAGAAGCACACCTTGATATACACCTCAGAAAAACACGTGGCTGAATCCCTCCTGTCGTGAGGTCTGATCTCCCCTGCTCTTCACTAGATACTTCCAAGGACAGAATTGAAGCTAAACATTGCTTGTGGATGAAGAGAAGGGGAGATTAGACTACACAGCAGGACCGACCATTTCAGTGCAATAGTTGTGTTATGAGCTGCGTTTGCCCAGATGGCGCCACCTGCTGGTTGAAAGTGGTTAATATGACTTTTTTGTATGTAATAGTTAGCTTTTAAATATATATATATATATATATTAAAAAAATATTTTTTAGTCTAAAACAAATAATGTATTCTTTGTTGTTCGAAAAGTGTGCCTCACCATCTACCTGCTGACCGGACAGGTGAGGAGGATTCTGGGAGGTCACATGACGTCACTCTGATCTCCATTAATAAAACACAGACCTGACCGGAGAGATGAGGAGGATTCTGGGAGGTCACATGACGTCACTCTGATCTCTGTTAATAAATCACAGACCTGACCGGAGAGGTGAGGAGGATTCTGGGAGGTCACATGACATCACTCTGATCTCTATTAATAAAACACAGACCTGACCGGAGAGGTGAGGAGGATTCTGGGAGGTCACATCACGTCACTCTGATCTCTATTAATAAAACAGACCTGACCGGAGAGGTGAGGAGGATTCTGGGAGGTCACATGACATCACTCTGATCTCTATTAATAAAACACAGACCTGACCGGAGAGGTGAGGAGGATTCTGGGAGGTCACATGACAACACTCTGATCTCTATTAATAAAACACAGACCTGACCGGAGAGGTGAGGAGGATTCTGGGAGGTCACATAACATCACTCTTATCTCTATCAATAAAACACAGACCTGACCGGAGAGGTGAGGGGGATTCTGGGAGGTCACATGACGTCACTCTCATCTCTATTAATAAAACGCAGACCCGACCGGAAAGGTGAGAGGGATTCTGGGAGGTCACATGACATCACACAGACCTGACCGGAGAGGTGAGGAGGATTCTGGGAGGTCACATGATGTCACTCGTCTCTATTAATAAAACGCAGACCTGACTGGAGAGGTGAGGAGGATTCTGGGAGGTCACATGATATTACTCCTATCTCTACACCCCTCCATCTTTTTTATGTCCCGTGTCCCTCTAAACAAGAGGATCAGCATGGATACAAGCAGCCCAGTCTTGGGAGGAGTCAAGCCATGTTTCTGGAACATCAATTGAATCACCGAACACCCAGATCTCCAAGTTCTCCCATTCTTCTAGACCGGTTTCTTCATTTTATATATTGAATTACGTTTCTATTTTGCAACATAGTTATTTCAGTGTAATTATTTTTATCTGTAACGTAGGGATCTCTGTATTGACCTCTATAACCTTTGGCCATCTTCTCTCCTTTCCCCATTTGCTAATGTCTGGCCCCTATTTGATCTATTATTTCCAATGCGGAATGCATGTTGCCTGGCTGTGCAGGACTATAGGAGGACCCAAATACTCAGCAACTCCTAAGAGGGCAGTGCTACGTACATAGTGATATGAGGCCTGAGAGGCTATAAAAAGGCCATAAAAATATCTGGTGGCATATAGGGTTAATGTCCCCGACTTCTCCAGGGATAAACAATGTTCCCAGCACACCAAGGATCTCCAGAGCAGGTCCAAAGCCTTCTTCAATGATCACATCATAATTACAGGAGCAACGTTTCAGAGCCTCGCATGTCTGATGAAGGGGTCCTGACAGGCTGCGAAACTTCGCTTCTGTAATTATGATGTGATTGTTGAAGAAAGCTTTGGACCTGCTCTGGAGATCCTTGGTGTGCTGGTGACATAGATTCTCCCTGGAGAAGTCGGGAACGTTAACCCTACCCCCTTAGGAATTTCAGAGCCTCGAAGGAGCCCTTCGTGTGATCACATGTCTGATGAAGGGGTCCTGCCAGGCTATGAAACTTCGCTTCTGTAATTATGATGTGATTGCTGAAGAAGGATTTGGGCCTGCTGTGGAGATCCTTGGTGTACTGGTGATATTGCTTCTCCCTTGCGAAGTCGATGACATTAATCCTACCCTCTTAGGAGGTTTGGAGCCTCGCAGGACCCCTTCATGTAATCACACGTCTGATGGGGTCCTGCCCGGCTGCGAAACTTTGCTTCTGTAATTATGATGTGATCGCTGAAGAAGGCTTTGGACCTGCTCTGGAGATCCTTGGTGTGCTGGTGACATTGTTTCTCTCTGGAGAAGTCGGGGACGTTAACCCTACCCCCTTAGGAGTTTTGGAACCTCACAAGATTTCTTCATGTGATCACATGTCTGATGACGGGGTCCTGCCAGGCTGCGAAACTTCGCTTCTGTAATTATGTGATTGCTGAAGAAGGCTTTGGACCTGCTCTGGAGATCCTTGGTGTGCTGGTGACATTGTTTCTCCCTGGAGAAGTCGGGGACGTCAATCCTGCATGTCACCAGATTTATATTTACCATATTTTGATGGCCTCTTAGGTCCTCCTGGGGTAGGGCATATGGAATGCTTAATGGAACAGATGACACCCTCCTGGAACTATTTACAAGTCTCTACTGCAACACAGTCTCCTTTGGAGAGCTAGCCAGCATCTCCCATAGTACCACCCTAGACTCTTGATAAACTCTCCTTTACCCAGCTGTCTGGTAGTATCCCTGAGCAGGGGATCCAGTGCCTATCACTTTAAGGAATTGGACAGCCCACTAGGTGGCAAATCTGGTTTCCTACCGGAGTGCTCCTTCCCCTATCTGGCCCAGGGGATGAAGGTCTACTTACTCACTCCTTTTCCTGTTTGGCTGCTGGGTTGGTGGCTGCTACCAGGTCTTCTAGGTGGGCTGCTCCTAACCTGCTACACAGGTGGTTCTCGCTCTGGGTGGCGGTGAGGATCTGAAGTTGTGTCCTTCACAGCTCCACTGCCTGTAGGTGTAGCCCAGTCCAGCCTTGTGCAGGTCTACAATCTTGTCCCTGATGTCCTTTGACAGCTCTATGGTCTTGCCCATGGTGGTGGTGAGGTTTGAATGGAAGAAAAAGATTCTGTGGACAGGTGTCTTTTATACACAGAACGGGTTTTCGGTAGGAGTGCCTTCTTACATTGACAGGACTGATCTGTGTACCACATGAGCACAAAGCCAGTCTGTGGGAGCCAGAATCATTGTTGTTGGTAGGGGATCAAATACTTATTTTACTCCCTGAACTGCAACTCCATTTATAACATTTGTATTGTGTTTTTTCTGGATTTTCGGTTGATATTCTGTCTCTATCATTTAAAATGCACCTATAATAAAAATTACAGACCATTCATTTCCATGTAAGTGGGCAACCTTACCAGATCTGCAGGGGATCAAATCATCATTTCCCACACTGTATTTATATATATATATATATATATATATATATATATATATATATACTATATTGCCCAAAGTATTGGGCCAGCCCTCCAAATCATTGGATTCAGGCATTCCAATCCCCTCCATGGCCACAGGCATGCAGACTGCTTCTACAAACATTGGGTCGCTCTCAGGAGCTCATTGACTTCAAGTGTGGTACCATGATGACCACAACCCCATAGAACACCTTTGGGATGAATTAGAGCGGAGACTGCGAGCCAGGCCTCCTCCCCCGACATCAATGCCTGACCTGACAAATGTGCTTCTGGAAGAATGGTCGAACCTTCCCATAGACACCCTCCTAAACCTTGTGGATGGCCTTCCCAGAAGAGTTGAATCTGTTATAGCTGCCATGGGTGAGCCAACCCAATATTGAACCCTACGGACTAAGACTGGGAGGCCATTCAAGGTTATGTGTGTGGAAAAACAGGTGGCCCAGTACTTTTGGCAATATAGTACATATATGTTCTACAAGCTAACCACCTCTAGTTCAGGAAATAAATGGTTCTGATGTCACAAGAACCACCTTAAACTCAGTTATCAATCAATACATCTTCCCGATCTCTCCAACACCTCGATCTCAGCCACTATGACTCACAAAGGCTGGAAGCCCAGCTTTAAAGGGAAAAAGGTGGATAATCACCGGTTACCAGGGGTGGCTTCAGTATTCTGAGAAGTCTTGCAAAGCCACATGGGTAGGTTTTTTTTTTTTGTCAAAGTAGAGAGTTCTTTTCAACTTTTGCCAAAAAATAGATACATGGAAAATAAGAGGCTAATCACAATTCTGGTCATCCTAATCAGGATATATTTTTGTCCCCCTTGGTGGGAGTGGAGGTGACCCATCCATGAGGACATACAGTCCATACACACCCAGCACAAGGGTCCCACTACTAGACGGTTCTCTGGGATGCAGTCCCTCTGAGCTCCACTACTTACTGAGAGACAGAAATTGTTAATTGTTCAAGGAACCTCTAGATCCCTTGGAGGAACCCCTAGAACCCTTTCGAGGAACCCTGGCTGAGAAAGGCTGGACTAGGCAGTCATATATTTCTGTCCCCCTTAGTGGGCGTGGAGGTGACCCCTCTATGAGGACATACAGTCCATACACACCCAGCACAAGGCCGGGGTCACACTACGAGACGCTTCTCGGGGCTTCAGTTCCTCTGAGCTCCACAAGGTGGTGAGCGCCCTTCTACCAGACAGGAAGTCCCTATGGTAGACAGGAAGTGATGTCAGGCATAGACAGGAAGTGATGTCAGGCATAGACAGGAAGTTCTGTTTGTGAGGCGAGTCAAGAGGAGACATTGGTGGAAGTGG